CTGTCACATGTGCTCAGTGTGAATCTGCTTTCATCTGTGAAGGGCACAGGGCGCCAGTGGCGAATTTGCCAATCTTGGTGTTCTCTAGCAAATGCCAAACATCCTGCATGGTGTTGGGCTGTAAGCACAACCCCCACCTGTGGACATCGGGCCCTCATACCACCCTCATGGAGTCTGTTTCTGACTGTTTGAGCAGACACATGCACATTTGTGGCCTGCTGGAGGTCCTTTTGCAGGGCTCTGGCAGAGCTCCTACTGTTCCTCCTTGCACAAAGGCGGAGGTAGCGGTCCTGCTGCTGGGTTCTTGCCCTCCTACGACCTCCTCTACATCTCCTGATGTACTGGCCTGTCTCCTGGTAGCGCCTCCATGCTCTGGACACTACGCTGACAGACACAGCAAACCTTCTTGCCACAGCTCGCATTGATGTGCCATCCTGAATGAGCTGCACTACCTTAGCCACTTGTGTGGTTTGTAAACTCCGTCTCATGTTACCACTAGAGTGAAAGCACCACCAGCATTCAAAAGTGACCAAAACAGCAGCCAGGAAGCATAGGAACTGAGAAGTGGTCTGTGGTCACCACTTGCAGAACCACTCCTGTATTGGGGGTGTCTTGCTAATTGCCTATAATTTCCACCTGTTGCCTATCCCATTTGCACAACAGCATGTGAAATTGATTGTCACTCAGTGTTGCTTCCTAAGTGGACAGTTTGATTTCACAGAAGAGTTTTTTTGAGCAGTGTATATACTATATATATATATATATATATATTTATATATATATATTTATATATATATATACACAAGTATTTATTTATTTCTATATATTTTATTTTTATTATTATTATTTTTTTTTCTGGGTTTGTTTAGCATCAGCAAGTGAGCCAGAGTTTATTTCCCCCATCATTTAGGTGGTGTGGGTTGCTTCCTACTTGGATGCTGGGGAGAGCGAGTAACCGTATCTCTCTCTCTTTTCACCTCTGAGACTGCTGCTGAGATTTAGTGGCCCGCTATTCGCTCTGAAACATGGTATTCAAATGTATAATCTCTCATTGATGTGTAATGTCATGTGACAAACGGGTTACTCTCTCAGCCAATAGACTAAGTCTTGCTTAGGAACTTCCAGCTCTCAGGTGGTTTTATAGGTCGTCGAATGGGAGTGGTGTACATTTAGTAACAGCTTGACTGCTTACAATGGTGGTAGGGGGCGTGAGGGCAAGGTGTAGTGGCTATGGTACTTAAAGTGCTCCTTTGACATTAGGATGTCTGTGAACTATTTTTTCCCACAATACTTTTCTAACCTAATGACATGCTGTGCCTTGTGGGAAATGTTCTACCCAAACATGTGCAGTGCTAAGTATAACTATCATTACTATAGCAGACATGTACTTGAATTGCTGTTTTATAGATATTAGAGAATAACTCTCCAATCTTTGACTACCCACCAGTCACATCATACGCTTATCATCCTCAGCTGGCTGTGAGTGATTGCAGTTGTAGTCCTGCAGCATTTGGGGAGATTGAAGCCCACAATGAAACATCTGCTTCCCGAAATGAACATGATAAAAGTAAAGGTTGCAGTTCATTGGATATAGCTTGGGGCTGAAACAGAGTATTACAAGGGATCTGTAGCAAAGCATCTATAATGCACAGAGATTAGTGTCACAAACTTGGAAAGCCGTAATCAATCCAGAACCATTAAAAGCACCAAAGTGCATCACGCGCTCTACTGCTGTTAAAACAAAAGTGGCGGATCCCGAGAGGAGCAGCATGATATGGAGTACCTATCGGAATAACAATGGCTCTCATCTGTCAGGCAACGAACGTCTAAAATTAGATCTACTGCTGGAGTACTCTTTATTCTTTATTTCAATAATCACATCGCTTTTTAAAGAGCTCAGATGTAAAACATAAATTCTGCCATTTTGTACTGCCGCGAGGTGTCAGGGTATGATTTCGGATTGGTGAAACTTACTTTGAATTCGGCAACTTAAATGGACTTAAACTTATTTGCAGGGCGTAAGAAAACATTTTAGTGTTGCTGTAATATTCTTGATGTCATAGTTCTGCAGCCGTAAATTATCACCTTTTTTTTTGTGTTTGCTATCGGCTGGCTGAGTTTCATGTGAAAGGTAATGCATGCCAGCTAAGGTGCCAAAAGTGAGCTTCCAACATTTCGGCCTCTTTCTTCTCTTTAACTTACAAATTTGATCATGATCATGTTATGTTCATGGTCCCTCAAACATCTCTCCATAAAGAATTGACCAAGGGTCAACCAATCACTAGGTCCATGCTTGTACATCACCACAACAATGCACTCCCAGTGTAATGCTAATGAAACTGTAGTGGTTATGGTCCCAGGTGTACCTTGATGCTGTCCCATGGTAAGTAGTAATTACAGGATGGTTTAAGAACTTAACTGCATCTCCCAGTGCCCACGCGGCATCCAATCTTCTATTGCAGCAGTTAGTGGTCTCTATACAGCTAAGCCTTTAGGATTATCTGAGAGCATTGAGCTGACGCTCCTATTCAATGAGAGCAGTTCCGCATGGCCAGAAGTATCTAGTAAAGTTGTTACACTATTCTAAAACAGTTTGACTATATAGCATGTTCCCTTGACACCATAAACACTACAGCAGGCTTTATGCTTCAAAATAACAATATCCCTATACATATATAACAATACTTAAAATAAAACAGAAATATTTATATTTTGGTTTGGCGCCATTTGTTGTTACAGTTATCAGGAATAGACAGAAATGTTAAAATTACGCAAAAATGTACATATTATTGCAGCCCATTTGTATCTATAGAATAATTCAATGGACGGCGAATAAACCGGTTGACATTGAATAATAAGCAATACAAAGAAGAAAGGTTAGAAATGTAGGAGAGAATTGTTTGCTTGTAAATGGTATCTATATTTCCAGACTCAATATGATATATTGCCTTCAGTGCCAGTAGACGTCTAGCCACTTCTACTGCTGACGGGTAATTATTTCTTTTAAAAAAGAAAGAAAAAAAAGAAACATTACTTCAAATTTTATATAGATATATGGAATGTCAACTGATCTGGAGCTGTTCATTGCACCAATAAATATCCCCTTTATTTTTTATTATTGTATTGATATAACTGTCTGGATTTTTATAAAAGCAATTTAATCCCTTAAGGACACATGACGGAAATATTCCGTCATGATTCCCTTTTATTCCAGAAGTTGTGTCCTTAAGGAGTTAAACACAACTGGAATATTCGGATTATCATAATTCCGTATACTCCATCCATAATTTACAGTTTACTCCTGTCCCTGTGCAATCTTAGTGTGTCTGATCCATTTCAATTCTAAATTACTCGTATATGCTCTGTCGTAGCATTCTATGACGGAACCTGTAAAGCAGATGTGTGTATGCATCTTCATTCATGGAATAAAAAAAAAACATTAATGAAGTTAATTGGCAAGTTCACAGCAGTTCATCATCATTTAATGAATTGAATATTTTTTTTGATTATAATCTGAGATGGTATTTCATTCTGGGATGATTCTTCTCTCCTTCTGGACCAGTTTGTTTGTACTGTCTTTGATTAAGTCTTGTTAATGTTACCATTGTACATTGCTGTGCAAAATGCTGGAGTGTTATATATAAAACTAATAGTAATAATAATACTAATAATATTCAGCGGGGCTAGTTAATAGGAAAGAGAAGGTAATCAATGAGGAAGAAAAAATGTTACGTTAGCATTTCACATAAAAATAATAGGAAAAGCTTGTGAGCGATCACAACTTTTGCTACATTATAAAGTTTCAAATTGTCTGTATATAAACTATAAAGTACTCTGTTCATTGACTGAATTTGGTTTGCTGTTGTCAAGATGCGTTGACAGTTTACATCTGCTGGGGAAATTCGGCATCCAGCCGGAAGACATGCATGTTTTTTGCATCGTAAAAAAAGTTTGCCTCTGCTAAAGAAAGAAAAATTATTTTTAAACTTTACTGTCGTAAAAAAAAAAACATTTCTTCTATCAAATATTGTTGTGTTGTTTTTGTTGAAAAGATTCCATGAATCCTATGAAAGCTTTAGGCTTTTCATAGTACCGAAAGTTGCCAAAGCCTCAAATCTCCGAATTGTGCAAACTTTTTTTGGAATGTTGACGTTGAGTTAAGATTCTACATAGAGCGGCATATAATGTTGACAAAGTGTAAGTAAAATAAACTGTTTGTGCCAAAGTTGAATAACTTAGCCGTCAGGGCTTCCCGTTTTTTTATTATTTTATTTATCTGTCAATCCAAGAAGACACTACATTTATTCAATATGAAAATCAAAACTAAGTCGAGCAAAGCAGACCATCTGCTGTGAAGGAAAAAGACGCCTTCCTAAATTTCTTTTAAATGTGCTCATATTTGAAGATATTTTGAAGAGTGGAAAGAGAAATTACTAATGACAGCTCTAATGCGTGCTGTAATCGATACAGATTAAAAGTATGCCTTCAATTCTTCCAAATCTGAAGCTTCAATAGGTTTATTAAAGAGATTATTCCATAGCATATCTGGAAAAGGTTTGCAAAGTTATTAACTAAAACATAAATTGTTTAGAATCCAAAGAGAACTCAAAGTGTATTTTCAATTTTTAACCCAAAACAGTCAAACTGAAAACATTAATGATTGTAATTTCCAGTTTCAAAAAAAATCCCAAAATAGTAAATGCACTTTTTAGTGAATAGCCTTTCTATATGCATTGCTGCTCATTGTACTAGTTGTAAGTGACTGGCGAATGTACAGCTGAAAGTTACATCACCTATTGTATTGTTCTGCTATTCAATGCAATCAAAAAAAGGAAATTGATTAAAAACGGAAAAGAAGATTGTGGTTTAGGTGACTCGGATTTCCAAATAATCTTTTTTTTCCAAATCTTGTGACTAGTGATGTCCCGAACTGTTCGCCGAACTGTTCGTGAACTGTTCGCCTCGGTTCGCCGCGAACGGTTCGCGCGGACTCCAGTCAGCAGACACATTCCAGCCAATCAGAAGCAGACCCTCCCTCCTAGACCCTCCCAACTCCTGGACAGCTCACTAAGAATGCTGCTTCAAAATGGATGCTGTCCAGGAGGTGGGAGGGTCTGGGAGGGAGGGTCTGCTGCTGATTGGCTGGAATGTGTCAGCTGACTGGAGTCCGTGGCGAACCGTTCGTGGCGAACCGTGACGAACAGTTCGCGAACAGTTCGGCGAACAGTTCGGGACATCACTACTTGTGACTTGCCTCCATTTCTGGTGGCCAGAAAATGGCAGGCACAATCTTAAGATGGTTATATCTGGCTAAGAGTAACACTTTATGGGAAACCTTTCCACTGAAAAAAACTTTTTATTTTTCCGTAAGTAACCATGTTTGTAGCATCAATGAAATATCCAGACATCACAAATTTTAAATAGATATCTATCTATTTATCTAACTACACACACATATATCATCTATCTATTACTACTATATGTTTATGCCCATCTATTGATTATTTATGAATGTAACATTTATAAATAAATTATATATCCCCCTAGGGAATCTTAGGAAACCAGATCAAAGTAAATGTCACCTGTCCAGTTAATTATTATATTTACTGCTAATTTAATTGGGATTTACATACATAGAGTTTATTTAATATGAACAGGACATAAACATAAATATGTACATTAATGTGACCTCACTGAATAATGCCTTCTTGTGATAAACACAGTTACCTGGCTAAAGCCAAGCAACTATATTCAAATATTACGGCAGAATGCTGCTGTCCAGAGACTTTCCTAATGCCATCTCCTCTACCATGTTAGGTTTTTTCGGCAGCGCTGTACAGATTGAGCAGGCTTCAATAACATGAGTGCCATCACGTAGAAGATTTGCAGAAGATAAAGAAATTGATGGAGAAATTTGTGAGACATGAGAAATTGTGTAGCAGTGAAGGAGAAGATGAATGCATCTTATTTAAAAAAATAAATAAATAAAATTTATACCAAGCGGAGATCCCCATATTCCTAAAAATAGGCCATTTTGGGGTTCTGACAACAACATCCTATTGTTGTGAAGTAAAGTCAAGGACAGTAACTAGGTTTTTCAATAAAGTTAGAATTGTTGAGAATTCAAAGTTAAGGCCAAAATAAACAAACTAGAAAAATTCTCCAAGGCAGCTATGCTTCAGGCTCGGCTACTTTGACCTTAAATTTGCATTCCCGAGAATTCGCACTTTACTAAATAACTTGGTTAGCAGGCCTCATCATTTCTATTTCTACATATAAGTAAAGCAATTGCTGGTACAGCAACATCTATCATATGTCCTATTTCCCATGGCAAACATTTTATAGATTGCATATCACGCTAAATTCTCTTTAGAATATATTTATATATATTTATTTATTTTTAAATAGAAAGGGAAAGTCAAGAAGCATTTTAGTAGGTCAAATAGGCCCTCTAACTATGTCTATATGTGTCTAGTATACCAAGAAAATTAGACGAGCAATGTTGAAGAGATTTGTGCTTTGTACTGTCATGTAAATTATTTGTGCTCTTACAACAACCTTGATAATGAATGTCATTTTAACATGGAAAGATAAATCTAATTTGTTATCATGCAGCTACATTAAAACCAGATAGACAATTTGAAACACTGCAAAACCTTAAATGGTAATATATGTCATGGGATAACCATGTAGCATCGTAGGATGAATTTCTATGTGAGTAAAGATTGCTGTAAACTCACAAAGGGGAATCAGTCAAAAATCGACTCCTAAGAGGTTGATAATCCTATTGCACCCACCATTTGGCAGCAACTTGGATCTTACCGAAGATCTATGCTGTGCGGGGAATTATAACATTATGGTGCGGGACATTTATAAAAGTGAAAGTAGGTCAAGGTTCTACAAGGTAGAATGTTTCTGCTGTTTCCATTGGTTTTCAGGATTGCTCCACATTTGGAACTTTGTGCCCTCTAGAGCTAGCAGCACTTTTAGAACTCTTTCTCTCTGTTTTAGAACTTTGTCCCACCTTGAAAATAAAGAGCCCAACTTCAATTTTCTGAGATTTAAACAGATTAAATTTTAAGAACATGCCTCCTGCAGCATAACCAAGTGTTGAAGACTTTCTAAATAATGTAGAAGGAAAAACTAAAAATATACACGCCCAAAGGGAATCATAATGTTACAGTAAATAGTAAGCTTTTATTCACTCATAAGAAAAGAAATTCTAAATAAAAAAAATATACTCTTTACTATTCCGTTTTAAGACATCTATGGTTTTTTTTTTTTACATTTTTTTTTTTTTTTAATATGGGTAATTTGATTTCCAGAGCAATGGTTAACCAATTAGTTCTTGTACACCTCAAAGGTTCAATATCTAGCCATTTCCCAAGTCTGGTCCCATGGGAATATCAATAAATGGGGACATTTGGTTTCACTTAAGGAATGGCTATAGAATCACTGTAACTAGCATGTTTTATGATTTTGAGTTTGTAAGCAATTTGGGGTTCATTTTTCACCACTTTTAGGTGAACTAGTGATTTCACAATCATAGGGTTCCCTGAAACACAAATAAAATATGCTTTATGTTTTAATGTAGGGCTTGACTTGTTCAGGTAAGCAGGGTACAAATACCCTCATTGGTCACTAGTTGGACACTTGATTTGCTATATGTATTTGCTGGAAGGAGCATACAAAAATAAATATAGTTATACTCACCAGCAGTGGCGTACACACAACCCATGGGGCCCCAGTGCAAAAACTGATCGTGGGCCGTGCCCCCCCTGCGCGCTTACTCTAACACACACACACTCTAACACACACACACACACACACTAACACACATTCACACACTAACACACACACACTAACACACACACACACTCACTAACACACACACACTCTAACATTAACACACACACTGTAACACTAACACACACTCTAACACTAACACACACACTCTAACACTAACACTAACACACACACACTCACTAACACACACACACACACTCTAACACTAACACACACACTCTAACACTAACACACACACACTCACTAACACACACACACTCTAACATTAACACACACACTCTAACACTAACACACACTCTAACACTAACACACACACACTAACACACACTCTCACACACACTCACACTCACACACACATTTTTTTAACTCCTGTGGGAGTGCTGTGGGGATTCCCTGGGGTCCAGTGGTGTCACCGGGCGGGCAGGCTGGCCCTGGTGTTGGCTGACGCGCGCACGAGGGGCACTCTCCCCTGAGTGCTCCCTCTTCAGCTCCCTTGCACGCCGAATACTCATACCAGAGCCGGAAGATGATGTCATCTTCCGGCTACTGCATCAGTACACGGTGCGCGAGGGAGCTGTAGAGGAAGCACTAAGGGGAGAGTGCTCCCTCGCACGCCCGCCAGCCTGCCCGCCTGCCCGGTGACACCACCAGGGCCAGCCTCAGGGGGACCTGAGGTGGCCGGCTCCTGGGCCCCCCAGGAGAAGAGGATGGCCACAGTTGCATACATACCGGGTCGCAGGGCGGTATGTACGCCACTGTTCACTAGAGTGTGAATTATGGTGAACTGATAGCTAATGTACAAACTGTGGATGAACTCAACTAAATTTGAAAAAGAAACTCCTATCTTTCTCATCTAGTATTTTTTGTCTACACGGATAATGTGTACTATATGTACAAATATCTTTTCAACTCAACTAATAGTTTTATCATGTTTTTTTTTTGTTATGTTTTTTTTAATAAAAAGGTTAAAACAGAAAATGAGATGTTAATGGTAATTATATGAAACACAAAATCCAATGCAATAGATGTTTAAAATAGGTAAGATAAACATTTCATTTAAAGTTATGACAGGATTTAATACATATCATTATACAATGGTTACGTAATTAATTCAAATACTCTAAATAAGATGAATTGGTAGTTGATATCTTCAAATCAGATGTCTGATAGTATCATATCTAAGTTTTGCTGTAGGCTGCAGGAAACAGGCTAATATTAACGGGGAAAACAGCTGAAGTCCGTTGGCGACACTTTGATACATAGCCCTGTTTAGTCTACATAACTGCCTAATACAAAAACGATTCATTAACGTGCCTATGATATGTTAAACTAGTAAAGTATTCAGAAGGAAACAAACTCAACAATTTCTTTAAAATGTAAATTTTTGTAACTTATCTTGTTACATATAGACTTTCTGCCTATCAGTGAAGAGGGCTATGTTCAATGCTTATACGTTTTAAAGGGATTCCTTAATACGATAAACAACTTTTATTTATTTTACATGCCAACACTATCATATTTCATTATAATATCTTAAGTCTAGGATAGCCTTATGCCTATCCCATGCATGCTTAAACTCCTTTACTGTGTTAACCTCTACCACTTCAGCTGGAAGGCTATTCCATGAATCCACTACCCTCTCAGTAAAGTAATACTTCCTGAAATTATTTTTAAACCATTGCCCCTCTAATTTAAGACTATGTCCTCTTGTTGTGGTAGTTTTTCTTCTTTTAAATATAGTCTCATCCTTTACTGTGTTGATTCTCTTTATGTATTTAAATGTTTCTATCATATCCCCCCGTCTCGTCTTTCCTCCAAGCTATACATGTTAAGTTTCTTTAACCGTTCCTGGTAAGTTTTATCCCGCAATCCATGAACCAGTTTAGTAGCCCTTCTCTGAACTCTCTCTAAAGTATCAATATCCTTCTGGAGATACGGTCTCCAGTACTGCGTACAATACTCCAAGTAAGGTCTCACCAGTGTTCTGTACAATGGCTTGGGCACTTCTCTCTTTCTTCAGAAAACTGACCTTTTACCTTTACCAGTAATCTAATTGCAGTTATCCTCTTAACCAGTAAATTTATTACATTTATCCCTTTTACCAGTAAACTAATTTCAAGTATCCCCTTTATTGGTAACCTAATTGCTGGTATTTTACTACCGTTGGATGGAGTATAACATGTAATTATTTAGAATGTTGGAAAATTCACTTGGTTCTGCATTGGGACTTTATCTATTCTTTTATAACAAGAGCCTATACATGAATTAAGAAAGGCTTAGAGAGACATAATGCCTCCTTCTTATACCATATCTATAATCAGACACATTCATGCCCCTACAAATGCAGAAGC